ATTTTGATAATTTTTTTAAAAGATTGTATTTATTCATTAGACAGAGAGAGAGAGCACAAGCAGAGGGAGAAGCAGAGGGAGAGGAAGTAGCAGACTCCCTGCTAAGTGGGGAGCCCAATGTGGGGCATGATCCCAGGATCCTGGGATCATGACCTGAGCTGAAGGCAGACGCTTAACTGACTGAGCCACCCAGTCACCCCTAATATTGGTAATTTGTGTCTTCTCTCTTTTTTCTTGATCAGTGTTGCTAGGGATTTATCAATTTTTTTTATCTTTTCAAAGATCCAGCTTTTGGTGTTGTTAATTTTCTCTGTTGTTTTCCTGTATTCAGTATAATGAATATAATAATTTTGTACTCTTACCTTTATTATTTCCTTCCTCTTCTTGCTAAAGTGGAAATTTAGATTATTAATTTGAGACATTTTCCTTTTCTAATGTAAGCACTTAACATTTTAAATTTTCCCCTAAGCACAATTTTGGCCTCATCTGCAAGATATATTGCATTTTCCTTCAGTTGAAAATACTATTTAATTTGAGACTTCCTGTTTTAGCCAGGGATTATTTAGAAATGTGTTGTTTAATTTCCAAGTGTTTTGAGATTTTTTCCTGGCACGTTCTGTCATTAATTTCTAGTTTAAATCCATTATAGAGAACATATTTTGTATAATTCTTTTATTTTTGGTGATGTTTGCTTTATGACTTAGGATATAGTCTATCATGGAAAACGTCCTACATGTACATCAAAATAACATATATTCTGCTCCTGTTGAGTTTCTGCTATAATTGTCAAATAGATCCAGAAATTACCAATGAAACGGTATTGTTCAGTTCTCTGTCCTTGCTTAAGTTTTGTTTACTAGTTTTATCAGTACCCGAGAGGAGAATATTAAAGGCTCCAAGTACAAGTGTGGATTTATCTATTTCTTCTTTTAGTTGTCAGTTTTTACTTTGCATATTTGGAATCTCTGTTGTTAGGTGCATACCCATTTAAGATTGTTACATCTTTTTAGCAAATTTATCCTTTTAATCATCATATGATATTGTCTTTATCCCAGTAATTTTCTTTGCTCTGAAGTCTACTTAAACTGATGTTAATACAGGCACTCCAACTTTCCCTTAACTAATAATCATATAATATATTTATATCTAACTTTTACTTTCAGCCTACCTATACCATTATATTTGAGATGTGTTTATTGTAGAAGGAATATAGTTGGGTCATTTTTTTAAAAATTGTGTTCTAATAACCTTGGCCTTTTAATAGCTATGTTTATACATTTTACATTTAATATAATTATTGATATGTTTAGACTTATGTCTACCATTTTATTACTTGATTTCTGTTTGCTTTCTCAGTTTTTTATTCCTGTTTTCCTTTTCTTTCCCTCTTTTGGGGGGAAATTAAACAATTTCATTATTCTATTTTTGTTTAAATTTGTTTTTTCTTTGTTTGTTATAATGGTTGCCCAAGGCTTTAAAATATACTTATGTTTTCACTTTCTATTTAAAATCAATATTTTACCACTTCAAATGATATGTAGATACCTTACCACCACATAAGTTCCCCTACCCTCCCTTCTTTATGTTGTAGTTAACTTTTATATTATGTCTACCTACATTGAAAACCTTATCAGAAAATGTAATTTTTTGCTTTCAGTGGATTGTGTCCTGAACATTTTAAATATTATGTTATGCAACTTTGGATCTTCTTGAAATCCTGTGTAGAATGCTATTTTTGTTTAGCAAGTACTTGACCCAGTTGGATTCAAGCCCCAAATTCTAACCAACCTTGTGGTTTCAATGTCAGTTCTGTTTCACTGTCTTTTAGTTCTTTTTAGATGTATTCCATATATACACCTTTCAGTGGTCAGTCTGGAACTCTGGAAGTGGTCTATCCTATAGTTCAATTCTCAAAATTTATAGTATTCTATTTTGGGCCAGATTCAAGCATATGTAGCTTAGGGATGAGCCCAGGGGTTTGCAAACAACTTCATGGGTTTGCTTTCCTGGGATCCTTTCTGTCTGCAATCCCCATGGTACTTTCTGGTTCTAGAGGCCTCTTAACCTCTTTTTTGCAGTTCTCTGGCTAGAGTGTTGGTGTTTATATACCCTACAGTGCACTTCCCCAACTGCTTCTATCTCCATACCTAAATGGTAAGAGGACAGAGAAACCAAAAAAACAATCAAAAGAGGTTTGCCACACTCTGTAGGGACCACAACTTCTTGTATCAAAGTGGACAATTCTCCTTCCACAGAGATGGAGGCTCTTGAGGGCCCTCTCGCCTCTGCTTTTGCAGAATTGCCTAGAGGCTGGGAAGTAAAAGAACATAGAAAGGAAAAAATATAAGAGTGTTAGGAAACTCCTTCCCCGGTCTTCACGGTGAAACGAGAGGGCTTCTTCTTGAACTCTCTGTTATTACCAATATCCACTTTTGGGTTTCAGACTGCGTTGAGTCCAGGCCAAGGGATATTGGAGGAAAGTAAAATCATGAAACTTTGAATTCTTGTTCTCTCCAGTCATTCTGCTTTGGTTTACATTTCAAAATCCTCAAACTGATTTTCTAAGCATTTTATTCAGATGTTATAGTTGCAATGAGCGGGAAAGATAGGGTGGTGTGTATTTACTCCATCTTACCTGGAACTGTAATCTGGAAATAACAGAGATAGAAAATGTAGGTATTAAACCCCAGAAGACCCCAGGATGATTGTGAGATTTGCCTGAGGTATCATCCACAGTTAGTAAGGCATACCTTCCAATGTGTGTCAGAGGCAGAGTGACAATCATCCAAAGTAAAGCATGTTTTCAGAGTGAGATGTTATAGTTAGACAACAGGTATAAACCAGAAAACCAGAACATATGGTCACCTTATCTAGAAATTGAAGTGGGAAAAGTATACTCTTTTCTCATTGTATTCCACTGAGTTCAACTGCTTAACTACCATATATAGGAGACATCCTATATATAGAAAATTTGTTTCAGTTGTCCACTTTGTTTTGGTTGATTTGCATGTAAGAAGTGTAAATCAACCTTTGTCCCTAATGCTGATTTGTCATCTTCAGTGTATCTGCCAACCTGGCAAGAATATATTCCATAAATGTTGGCTTAGATAGACCTCCCCCAGCCCCCTTTTCTGAGTATGTACAAACCTGAGGCACAGTGTGAGTTTCTGTTAAGCTAAGGACAAAACTCTAGACCACTGGATAGATCAGTTTTAGAAAAATTTATTTTAGAAAAAAATAAACCTGGGTCAACTGGCCCAAAGAGGTTTCTGAATCTTAGAGCTCAGGGAGGAGTTGGCAGGAAAAGCAGAGATTCTGGCCATAGCCATAGCACAAGGGCACAATGGCAGCATGGACGCTTCCCCACCGACACCCTGCAATGAGCCTTCCCACAAGAAACTTCCTCCAGGAATAATTTATACCTTTTAACTCATCTTTAACTTCATCACTGAAATTCCCAGCAAGGATGTCGCTTGGTGCCAGAGCCACAGTGGTTTTTCTGATGTGGGAGCCTCTGTGGAAAAACCACTCAAGATCATTTCATACAGGCTCCAAGTGGTGGCCAGATGAGGATGCCTTTTCACCATTCTGAACGTGGATGGCATTCGGACCAGTGAATGGGACACATTACATTTGAATGAGTCCAGAAGTTGCCTGTCTTTATTGCTCAGACGAATCATTCCATTCAGACAGGGATGGCAGAGTGTGAAGATTTTAGAGTCCTTGGGGACCAGAACACTCTTGTAACTATAGATTGAACTCCCTGAAGGAAAACCAATTTACAAGAATGAGATCGGCCTTGTCTATCAGGACAACTACTGGGGGCTCTAGCAAATCACCCTGTTACTCAGGACGGTCAGGAAGCACGTACAAGGAGTGCCAGCCTCGACAGGCAAACGGCTCAGACCAAAGCTCCGTTCAAGCTTCATTCTTGCTGTCTTTTAACCAATGTATACATTTACTTCCCAAACTTGTACCTTGGCTGCTAACTCTTGCCACTGCCTTTCTACTTTCTAAGTGCTAAGCTGTTCCTTGTCTCCTCACTGGCCTGATCATTATGACCTACTTGGTCTGTACTTCCAGTGGCCCAGAGTAAGGTTGTGTACGTCATGCCCTGCCCAACGGCCAAGCGGACAAGGAGGGCTGAAGTTAGCCCTACTCTGCTCCCCTAGCCTTGTGTCCAGCACAAGGCTGCCCCCCTGCCGGCCCCCCGCGTCCCACCCCCCACAGGAAGGGCTCCTTCCTCTATTTCATCTGCTCAGAGGGGGCACTTCCCTCAAGGACAGAGTAGAGACTGACGGTGGCCCTGTCTGCCCCTTGTCTCCCTCTGGTTTCTGCCTTTCCCACTTACTTTCTGTGCTCCAGAGTTAATGGGTGAACACGGAGTAAGAATTGTTGTTGTTGTTGTTGTTGCTTTTTTACAGAGAAGTTTTAGGCAAAGTTTAAATCAGTCACTTTGAATAAAATAATATTTATTTGATTGCAAATATATATAAATTTATATGTATAATAAATAGCAGACATGGTAGCCAATAGCCCCAAAGCAAAAGTGACTCTATCTGCCAATTCTGCTCAGACGGCTCGGAAAGTCTGAGGGGCATTGTGTGTTGAATGTGTGCGAGCACCTGAAGGATTTACTCTCCCTCGGTCCAGAGGCTATCAGAGACTCTACCAGAGCTTCAGAGTCATTCCAGGGCCTGTCAGGCTTGCTCAGAGTCGACAAAACACTTCCCATCTTAGAGCAACTCGATCCGTGCTGTGTGGATCTCCACTCACATCCACATCTCTACTCACCAGGGGCGGGGAGGAGGAGGTTCAGGGTCCGCTTCACCGTCCCCTAGGCTGGGAGCTCCTCCCAGAGGTTTCTGTTTTACTGAGTCGTTTCCAGTGAAACAATTCGCGGATACTTCGGAGATGGTTCCACTGCAATTCTTTAGAGGTTTTCACTGGCATATGGTAGCGCATCTGAGTCCAGAACCTGGAATTGGGAGGGACTGATTTTAAGTTTCTCCAAGTGACTGTGGGCAAAACCCGGAGAGCTCTTTTCACAAGATGAGGTAGAGACCCTGGTTCTTGGAAGGAGCAGAACTTAATTAAAATTAGTTTCAGTGTTTGATCATCCAAGGCCAGATTCACTGCGGCTTGTAGTTCAAAGATACTGGGTCCATTGACATAGTTGGGGCTCAGGATAAATATTCCTCTTCGACTTTTCTTAATCACGTTCACAATGTCTTCGGCATACACTGGAAATAAAGAATTTAAGGAACTGTTAATGCTAAACCTGGAGTCTCACTAACCCCGAATCTCCGAATCTCCCAGATCTACCCCGAGGGTTCCTTGCAAAGGCACTCTTGGGGAAGGAGGAAGGGAAGCATGTTCGCTATGCCGCTTTTGCTGTTATCAACGCTACTGACAGTTGAAGATGTACTCTGGTGTCCGGTGACTCCCAACTTCACATTCCTCTCTTTGTGTTCCCTGTCCTCAAACTCTCAGTTCCTCTAGGAGCCCAGCTTGTTGGCACAAGGCAGGCTGGGATAACAGGGGGACACGGAATGCTCCAGGCTCCCTGGTGGGGTGCCTGGGGCAGAGGAAGGGGGGGACGGAATGAGATCTGCACATTTGATGAGTGGCCATTGTGCCCGGCTTTATCCAATTCTGAGGGGTGTGGCCAATAGAGTCCTACAAAGCCGGGGGACCGCCTGTTTGGGATGACAGAGATGACTTCCTCTGGAGGAGCCAGGAATTCTATCTTTGTTCAGGAAGGCCTGCCTAGGGCCTAATAATTTTTTTCTGAAGATGGATTTTTCTTTTTTTTTTTTTTTTTGGATGACAGAACATGTCTCTGCAGCACATATTCTCCTGTGCTGGGGCCCAACATATTCTAAGCTCATGGAACTTTCCAGAAAAGGTATATCCCAACATAAGGAATGATGGGAGAGCCCAGAGAGTGCTTGTATCCAACTGTCCTTTGTGTTCCAGATCTTCTCCTGGCATGCAGGACCTACCTCCTCCGGGGGCCACATCTCTTTCGAGCAAACACAGGTTGTATCCATATTTGTTTTCCAAAACTTCAGGGAACAGATTCAGAGCCAGGTACTCCTCACTCAGAGATAAAGCGGCCTCACTCTCAAAAGAGCTCCATTTCGCATAGGATACGAAAGCATCAAATACCTTTTTATCTGAGGAAGAGAAACGATAAAAAAAAAAAAAGTCAACCATTTACCTATGTTTTACATACATGGGCCTTGTATCCTATGACATATGGGCAAGAATTAAGTGTTGGGCTCCTTACTGCATTGATTTAACAATAAAAAGCAGCAGCTGTGTCCATTTCAGAATCACACTGCTGAGTGGTGTCGATTGTCCAACCGCATTCAAATTTTTTTTAAAGATTTTTATTTATTTATTTGTCAGAGAGAGAGAGAGAGAGAGAGCACAAGCAGGGGGAGCAGCAGAGGGAGAGGGAGAAGCAGGCTCCTCACCGAGCAAGGACCCCGATGCGGGACTCGATCCCAGGACCCCGGGATCACAACCTGAGCCGAAGGCAGATGCCCAATGACTGAGCCACCCAGGCGTTTATGACGCACTCCTGCCTTTTCACTGAGGTCAGACCAAACAGCTGTGGCTTCTCTGATTAAATCACACATACCGGGGGTTCCTCTGAGTTTTCTTTGCACTGCGCTGTTGCTATCTCCTGAGTTACACATCAAAGAAGAGTCTGTTCCATCAAGGCGTGGTAACATCCAGCGAGCAAAGCACTGCCAAGACCCAGCACCTTGCAGAGGCTAGAGCTGACGGCTCATGTACCTATATTAGAATCGCCATGTGTAAAATGCTGCAATAAGAACCTCCCGGTGGACAGTTTTCAGGGTTGCGTGATACAATGTATATAAAGTGCTTGGTGTCTGGCTCACAGCAGGCTCACAAGATAAGTATCTTTTCCCCCGATTTCTAGATGGGAAATCGTATTTATGAAGCTCATCTCAGGATATTCGTCAAGTCTCATGTACCTCTGTTGAGCGGAGTATTACAAATGCACATTGAGTACTGGGATGTGCTTCATAACTAGCCAGCCAAGAGAGGTAGAGAATCTCAAAAGTTAACTCATGGACATTGGCATCCGGGCATACCTGAGTCATATTCCAGTCCTTTGCACAATGACTGGCAAATAGCGGTGTTACAATAGCAAACAATAGCCCAGGGGGCCAATGCAATTGGCACTACACTTGCTGAACATGGACCCAAGGAGAGGCCCTGGTGGATGGAAATGCCAGCAGTAGAAAAAAGAAGAGGGAGCGGGGGAGGTCCAGGAGACAAGAAAGGGGGATGCCAAAGACTCGAGGCCCAGGAGGCTTATCTGCAAAGTTCCTCACTGCCCCGGTGGGAAGGAGGAGCCTCGTGGGGCATGGCCAGCAGGGAAGGGCTATGTGGTTTAAATGTGTGACACACCCTAGTCACCTCCATTCCTTCCATATCCCTGTGAAACTCCAGCGAGCGTGGCTTTTTCTATAATCTGGAAACATTAAATTTCTTTGGTAATAAAATTAGCCAGTGAGAGTATTAGAACTCTCCTAGGTCCTTTGCAGCTCCGCCCATCTACGTCTCTCTAAAATTTTGGATATTCAGCATTAACTTCACAGGAAACAGGCATTTTGCTATAAAACATTAGACTGGCCACAGAAGGGCACTGAATCACTGTGCTTTAAAACCGGGTTCTGCCTCCTCATCAGGTTACTGTCTGTGCAAAGTAAAAAGAGCAATTTAAAAGTTTTACGGTTGATTGGCTCTTCTGTACAAGCTCTAGAATCTTAAGATAAATATCACTTCAGTAAAAAAATAAAAAAGTGTAAGTCATCTAGGGGAATGATTATGACATTCGTTAAATAACTTGCTCAACTCGTAAAAGCTAAGAAGCTAATTTAAATAAGTAAATCTCAAAAAACACTCTTGGCTTAAGGACTGCTTGCATGAATTCTCAATAATTAGTCTAAAGAAAGATACGATTGATGCATCGCTTTACTCCTCCTTTTCCTATAGATCTGACAGCTCCTCGCTGTGTTCCCAGTGTGGGGCAAGCACTGGCGTGGGAAGTAATTAGCCTGGAATCCAGCAGAAGGGATCCTGCCCTTTCCAAGCAACAGAATCATTCACTAAAACTGCAAACCTTCTCATCTTAGGCAACTCCGGGGCTAGAAGAACACTCAAACCGGCTCTTCTATTCTAAAGAAGCAAACACCAATAAGCACTATGATCCCATCTCCTGGGGAAGTGGGCAGATAACTTCATTCATTGTAATAGGGGGGATTTTATAGAATTTCAACACTTTTTGAACACTGCCACCATCTTGAAAGCCCCTCGTTTTATAGATGAGGCTAACCGAGGTAATAGCTATTGGGGGCTCTAAGCCAAACCGCCTGGGTCCAGATCCTCAATTCTAGCACTGTCTTGCAGTTCAGTTTTGGGCCCATGACTTTATGTCCCTCTGCCAGGCTTGCAGGACCGCTGTGACAGTTGAAGCAGCTAATACACCTGACTGGCATGCCCTCAGTACTCAAGAGATAATAACAGTTGGCTTCTACTGAGTGTTTACTATGTGCTAGATGCTGTTCTAAATGATTAATATGTCCTAACTCAATGAGTCCTCAGAACATTCGTTGTGATTGTGATTACAATCCCGTTTTACAGGAGAGGAAACTAAGGCGACGTGATGTCATTTGTCATATTGCGTTAGGTTGGTGAGCAGCAAGATTATGTTCGAGCCCAACATGCTCTATCTACAATGGCATCGTCGGTCAGCAAGATTCCTAGTAAATGGACTGAAAAAAAGTTGTTTATCCACTGGCTCCCAGCTCAACCAGGTGTGAAGCCACCAGACCTGGAAGAAGGTCTCAAAGGCTGAGGGGCATGACTTTCTCCATCAGGGAACACCCATTTCTGGAGTTTCTTCCTCGAAGTCAGTTCTGAGAGGAAAATTCAGAGGCAAGTTGGGGGTCACCTTACCCCCGAGCGTCTCATCCTTGCTCCAGTAGGTTCGGTACAGCAGGACTATTTCAATCCAGTACATGTAGAGCAGAACAGCTGCCATCAGCACGCCGGTCAGGGTCATGACGGTGCCAAGTAGGAGGTATATGAACACCACTGGGGGAAAGACGGCAGCCATGAGCAAATGCAGAGCCAGCTTTCCTGGGACAAGGCCACATTCCAACCAATGCTGTGGGCGCACCCAGCACCTTTCCAGACCCTATTATTTTTATCAAAAGCACTTCTCTTGGAAGCATTCTCTTGAATCTGGAAATGCATACAATTACATCTTGCGGGAACTGTCTGACAATGAATTGGAGACAATTCACAGGAACCGGCCATTCCTGATTGGGGTGGCCAGGGAAACTGATCATGACCACTTTTAGTTATTTTTCCCCCATAAACCTCCACACCACCCACGTGCATCCCTCTCATTGTATCTTATAAATTATTTTCATGCACTGTCATCACCAGTAAAGTCTAAACTTCCTGAGGCCAGGAGCTATGCGTGGCTTGGTTTTGTACCCTCCACGGTACCTAACACATGAGACCTTCCACACACCTCTCTTGACAGGAGCCCCATTACAGAGCATCCACTATGGCCCAGCACAAATTTTGTCTCATGTAAGCCTCAGTGGCATTCAAAACTTGCTTGTTCTTATAATCACTTACTAATTGAATGAAGGATATCAAGCTCATCGAGTGTCTTCTTAAAGAAATTTCAAAACTGTTCTTTACCAGGAATTTCCACTCCACCTTTAAAAGGTTGTGATCTGTGATATTACACATACCACCCTGAGCAATGAGCAAGATGACTCTTCTCTCCATTCTGCAATACCTGACCATCACGTTCTCTGGATTGAGAAGCCAGGAAAAGAAAACCCTAAAAAGAAGCTAGGTCCTAGCACAATACCTGTTACACAGGATATGCCCTTTAGGTACTTGTAGAATGAATAAATGAGTGAGTGAAGGAATGAATGAATGAATGACTGGCTTATCCAACACAGCACCCATACACAGGGTATTAGTTAAGAGGACCAGTTCTGGATCACTGATGTGAAACTTAATAGTGATGTGCCCTTGGTCAAAGTATTAAATGGTTTACTACAAGCAAAGTGCATAGTGTCCGGCATCTAGCAAATGTTAATTGCTATCATCATCATTACAATTTAAGGAAAATTCCTCTCCTCTCAGATAAAAGCAGTTGTGTGCATGGCGTGGCAATATTCCAGGCTTACCTCCTTTTTTCTCTTTCAGTTGAATGGACTGGGTAGTGTTCCCGATGGAGTTCTGGGCAAAGCAAATAAGCTTCCTGTGAAGCTCCCTCTGAGTAACTTCTTTCAAGTGGATAACGCGGGCAATGACTTTATCCTTTTTGGTGGATTTAACACTAGGAAAGAAGAATGAATACTTTACTCATTCAGTAGCATGCGCTGACCACCTTTTGCAGTATTTGGAATTCATATTAGCAGCCATCAGTTCGGCTTTCTGAAGAGCTAGGGGAGTGTCCAGAAGAACTTGAGATTGACCATCTTATGATGGGGGTCCATTTTTTGATTATTGAATCTTCTAGGCATCATTTCATGCACTTACCCAAGAATTTAATTTACGGTGGGTCTCATCTGACCTTCATTACTCTAAGCATTCCCCTTGAAAACAGACAATAACAATAATTTAAGAATAGTATTGACTAGTGACTCCCTCCCACCAAGGGTTTACCACGTATCTGTGCTCACTCTTCTGAACACTAACTGTGGACTATGGAGTCTCCTGCATGCCTCACCTCACAGGAGCCCCCATGAGGTAAAAGTATGATCATCCTGACTTGGCCAGCAACGCAGACCAGGCACAGAAGGTAGGTGGCAGTCCAAGGTCATTCTGCTTGGAAGTGACAGCCTGAATCCTGCCATTCTGCCCCATCCAGCAAGTTGTAAGTCTCAGTATTTATTCACTATTTGGGTTCTCTAAAGTTGCCGATCTACAGTCTGTCTTTACATGAAGGAATATTATTTAGATGGATGGTGTTTTAGGCCGTGTTGCTTGGAGCCTACAATACCAACTCATATTCACTGAATGCTTCCTACTGGCCAGGGACCATGACGAGCATGTCACCTCTACAGAATCAGCTCCCTACAGGGACCTTGCAAAGTGGACCTAAGTGTCCATAGATTACAGGTGGTGGGATGGAGTCTTGTAGGGGTCAAGGGTCACATTGCCAACAGGTGGAAAACAGAGATTCGAACCCAGGGGCTTGTGTGACTTCCCTTGTCTTAGAAGTTCTTGCTAAAGTCTATTACTGTTATCAAAATTTGTTCTTTTTGTAGTAATGCGTACTTTTCAAAATAGTACATTTGTTCATGGAAATGTTTTAAGAATCATAAGGAAAAGCTTAATCCATAGACTATTACTTTGGAACAGATTTTGGAAAAACAAGGAACTCTATTTTTTAGTGACGGCCCTGACCAATTGGATCCAAACCCTTAATCCTTCCAGGGACCAGAGTCCAGCTTCATGAGGCGTTGGTTAGCTCTGAATAGCTAAAGTTCTCCTTTCTCTTGAGCTGAAGTGTCTTCCCAGTAAATTCTGTCCACTAATCGGGGTTCTGTGCTCCAGAGGGGAACAAACTAAGTCTGGTTTCCATAAAACGTAATGGCTTCCAAGGACTTCAAGACAGATATCTCACCTTGGCATCTCCTTTTCCATTTGGATTGCTTCAACTATTCCTCGCTTCACCTATTTTTGGTCAGACTCATTAATGTGCATTTTCCTCTGGGTACATTCTGGATTGTTCATGACTGAAGATTTGGATCCCTGAACTCACCACTACTCTAAGTGGATGGCACTGGGAAAAATGGGGTTGGGAGGGGCGCATTCTTTCCCATTAGTTGGACGTGCTACTTCTATTCAGGCAGCCTGGGTCGGTATGCCTGTCTGCTTGTCAGCTTGATGTTTAAAGCAGCCCCATCAAACTGTTGATACAAACTGAGCTTCACAACAACTTAAATATTGTAGGGCCTGTCAGAAAGGGCTGTTTAAAATGAACCTGCCCTTTGCATTTCCATGCTCTTCTAGTCACCACTAGTTGGCGCTAGTGGCCACACTGTGAACTGGGCCTGTTGGCTCGCCTCTGGGTGTACATTTTTAAGGTTTCCAAAGGTGAAAGCATTTAGTGTGGGCGGCAGAGAATATCGTCTGCTAATTTCCTTCTTACCTGATCTCTTCAGATGTTGGGAATTCCCACTCCTGGTCAGAATCTTTAATGTACCATTTTATTACAGGCATAAAGTTCTTTTGGTAGCCAAATCGTGCTGTGCAGTTTAGAGTTAAAGGCTTTCCTGAAAATGAAGGCGACACAGAAGATAGGAAGTCCGTGAGAACACTTTGTCCTGTGCAGGAGGAAGACGCCCCCCCCCAACACCGTTCATGACCGCCATCACGTTTGTAGGTAAAAAACAGGTGTGCCAGAAAATAACCGAACAATCTAGCTGTCTCTCATCTGGAAACAAATAAGACCAGGTCTGTTTGTCTCCAAGTGGGCAATACTTATATCTCAGACCAGCAGCGATGTGGTCATATAGCACTAAGCATTCTGATGTGGTTTAAGGTTAGACACCAGGAAAATGAGGAGTCCCCTCAGTGACCAGCCTGCTCTTCCAACGCTGCTGTTGAGTACAAGGTGTGTCAATAAAGAACATTTTACTGCTGACCAATATTTGCATATTAAGTTAAAATTGTGAGGTTACTCTAATGTAGTTTAAAGAAGAAATTATTTAGATATTCAGCAGTTTCTTGAGGAATGCACTACTGTGGGGATGCAAATTATCACACTATCCCTTTTCTACCCATTTTTTCCAGTAGGGGTATCCAGATATACTCTGCCTCAAACCCAAATTTTCACCTTTAAAAAAATCGTCTTTGCACCTTAATAATGTCCCTCTGCCCTGTAATTCTTTAAAATTCACTGAAACCAAATGTAGCTTGGCTATTTTTGAATTATTAATTTTTTTTTCCTTTCCTCCTTGTATTCTTGTGATGCTGCTGGTTTTGCAAATTCTATTTCCAGAATCAGGACACACTGATACCGCCATCTAGCGGTCTTTTATCGTAGTATCTATTTTGACATTTCTGTAATTCTAAATATTTTAGCATTTAAAGGAGCACTTATTTTATTGGAACAACCAGCACTTGGTTTTAAATAAAGCAGTCCTTATTTTACTGTGTGGGAAAATGTAGCTGTTATTGAAGTTGATAAAATACAAGGAGACCAAGAGGAAAGTCACTCTGCAGCTCTACCCAAAAGACACTACTAGGGAATATGAGTTGCTTGAGCAGGGGATGTAGTTCCTCTCTAATTATCTTAAGACCACACCAAACACCATGTTTGCAAAGATTCATGCCATTCATGTTGGTAAATTGGTTAAATTTACAGACTTCCCCAATGGACCTAATATACACAATCAGCTATTTCTGGGATGAGTAAGGAACAATCTAAAATCTATTGATCATGTCCACTGCACCAGCCACCTAACAAACATTATCCTACATTTCTCTGTGCATCCAGATGAGGTCAGTTTTCTTCTGTCTGTTTACAGATTTAAAACCTGAAGCTTAGAAAGAATAAGTAACTGAAGCTAAGAAAGAATAAGTTATCTTAAGATCACAAAAGTAGCCAGTGGCTGAGCCAAGATTCACATTCAATTCTGTTTGACTTAAAATCCCAAGCCTTGGGATGCCTGGGCGACTCAGTCGTTAAGCGTCTGCCTTCGGCTCAGGTCATGATCCCAGGGTCGTGGGATCGAGTCCCGCATCGGGCTCCCTGCTCAGCGGGGAGCCTGCTTCTCCTTCTGTCTGCCGCTTCCCCTGCTTGTGCTCTCTCTCTCTCTCTGACAAATAAATAAAATACTTAAAAAAATCATGAGGTTCTTTCCCTTATATCGCACTTAGACTTACTCCCAGAAGCACAATGTCATTCAAGGGTGATAACACAACCCACCTTACCAAGTTCTACTTCCAGTGTGTCCTCGATGGGATCCAGAATATCTGGTTTGTGATTAGTATCTTTCACTAAAAGATGAAAATAAAAATTATTATGTGCACTGGGAAATCTGAAAGCCTGCTTGCTGAAGATGTGTGTACAAAGGGACACTTTGATCTCAATGCTTTGGAGCTTTCTCTTCAATTTTGATTCATATTCTATAAAGCTAGGAACTTAGGTTTCCATGTGAAAAACAAGCCTCCAAAAATGACCATGACATCAGGTCGTAGGTGCTAGCAAAACATTAGTCCCTGATAAACCCTATCCACCTGGGTGCATTTTCTTCTGCACCAGCCCTGCTCAACCACCGCAGACCTGAACCCCCATTCCTGTCTTCTCCTACAAGATTGCTTTTAGCCCCATCTGGCTGAGTAATCCAGAAGAAGAACACACCTGAGAAAATGCCCACATCAGCCAGACTGGAGGCCACCCAGTCCATCCCTGAGTTCGTGGTTTATTTCAAAATAAAGGTGAGTCCGGCCCTCCATTACTCGTTTATCCCTCAACTTCCTGCCCCGAACTGTCAAATAGGGCTCTGTGGTCAAACTTCCTCCTGCCTATGTCCCATCTCCTGATAAAGGGAAATTCATTGCCTCTGCTCTGGACATTGTCCTCCTACTTCTCAGGGACCTCCTTCCCTCAAAGATTCCATCTCTTCCCTGTATATTCCCCCTCTCTCTCTTTCTCTCTCTCTCTCTCCTCTCCGTTCCCCCCACCCCGCTTCTTCCCATTGGCACTTATCCATGCTCAGTCTCTCCATCTTAAAAGAGAGAAAAATCCCTGCACCTCACTTCCTTGCTGCACTCATTCTTCCTTCGCAGCCACATTCTTGAAACAGCTCTATATGCTCATCTCCATTCTCTCACTTCCCTTGTAGTTCGAGTCCTGCCCCCATCACTCCACAGACACTGCTTTGTCTAAAGACCCCAGTGACTTCCTGGCACCTAAATCCACTGGGCATAACTGAGTTTTTCTTCAGCTTTATTTCCCTGCAGCCTTGGACACTTGTCAGGCACCATCTCTTGGAACCCTCTCGTCTTTTGTTTCCCTGCTCCCCTACTCTCTTGTTCACCTTCTGCCTTTCTGCTCACTTCCCGATGTGTTTGGGGGCCCCGCTTTCCCTGTGCTTCTTATGAATATCGGTTTTCTTCCTTGTTCTCTGTTGTGGTGCTGTTCACTCTCTAGGCTTCTTCCCTACGAAAGCTCTTGAACCTTGAGATGATCTCTCTCCCACGTCATCAATTTCACTTCCTTTACAGCTCTCCTCCCCACCCTTCCAGCAGTACCCACTCGCTTATGTAAATATTGTCTGCCGTCTTCCCAAACCCAAGGATGAGTTCTCAAACGCTTATGTAAATGATGTCTGCCATCTTCCCAAACCCAATGATGAGTTCTCAAGCATCACTCCCTCTGCCCGGAGATACTTTAGTCACTTGCCCTAGGACAGTATCCCTCTGTTCTCACACCCCTGCTCTACCCCCTCAGGGGATCCTCCTTTTCCTCCCAACCTCTCCAAGTGTTGCAGTGCTCCAGACCTCAGTTCCAGGCCCTCTTCTCTCTATACTCACTCCCTAGGTGACCTCATGCCGTCCCTTTGCTTTAGATACCATGTTGACCACCCCCCATTTCATCTCCAGTCCTAACATCTCCAGATTGGTTTATCCAAATTCCTCCTTATCATTGTGATTTGGATCATTAAAAGTCCTTTCAAACCCAGCCCTTCATTTCTTCTTTAGACCTCTTCTTTTTCAACCTTTTCTTGTTTCATGAAATGGTGTCACCGTTGACCAGGTTAACAAAAACATTTTTTTGCCAGAAAACAAAAACATCCTTCATTTCCCTCTTCACACATTAAATCCATCATCACGTTCTGTTGATACACAAATAAAGCTGTTTCTCATCACCTTTGCTAAGTCTACGCAGTGAGCAACCAGGGGCATCTTTTCTTTTTTTTTTTAATTTTATGTTATGTTAGTCACCATACAATACACCATTAGTTTTTGATGTGGTGATCCACGATTCATTGTTTTCGTATAACACCCAGTGCTCCATACAGTACGTGCCCTCCTTAATACCCATCACCAGGCTAACCCATCCCCCCTCCCCCCTCCCCCCTCCCCTCTAAAACCCTGTTTGTTTCTCAGAGTCCATAGTCTCTCATGGTTCATCTCTCCCTCCGATTCCCCCCCTTCATTTTTCCCTTCCTTTTCCTAATGTCCTCCATGCTGTTCCTTATGTTCCACAAATAAGTGAAACCATATAACTGACTTTCTCTGCTTGACTTATTTCACTTAGCGTCATCTCCTCCAGTCCCATCCGTGTTGCTGTAAAAGTTGGATATTCATCCTTTCTGATGGCTGAGTAATATTCCATTGTATATATGGACCACATCTTCTTTATCCATTCATCTGTTGAAGGGCATCTCGGCTCCTTCCACAGTTTGGCTATTGCGGACATTGCTGCTGTGAACACTGGGGTGCATATGGCCCTTCTTTTCACTACATCTGTGTCTTTGGGGTAAATACCCAGGAGTGCAATTGCTGGGTCATAGGGTAGGTCTATTTTTAAATCTTTGAGGAGCCTCCACACTGTTCCTCAAAAATTTAAAAACCAGGGGCATCTTTTAAGAATATGCATCAAACCTGCTGTGTTCCCCCTTTTGTGCCCTATGTCAGCTCTTATCTATGCCATGCAATGCTATCTTCCATCAGTATCTAACAGAAAGTCCACCTATAACCCAACTCTCTTGTCCTGGATCCCTCCTTTTCCCTCTTCCTCACCGCCAATTCCCAGATCCTTTCAGATGTACTCCCTCCATATTTCCTGAGTCTGTCCACTTGTGTCCATCCCCACCGCAGCTCCTAGCTCAGGCTACCATCAGCAATTGCTCTCTCCATTCTTGCTCCCCCCAAATCCATTTTCTACACAGCAGATGGAATGATCTATCTCAAATACGATTCATGACACTCTCCTGCTTAGAACCCTCAATAGCTCCCCACTGTTCCTTAAATAAAGTTCGAAGGCACTAAAACAGTGTGATGTCAGTCCTGCTTCCAGACATTCACTCTCAATGGACCTTCTTTTTCTTCCTGGACTGTGCATGCCCTCTCTCATCTCCCAGACATTGACTGTGCTGCTCCTTCTGCCTGGAATGGCATCTTGACCACCTTCATTGCTCTGGTTTGGGCTCACCCCTCAGTTCTCACTTGGACATGGTGTGTCCAGGTTTGGGTTTGGGTTTGGTGGGCCTCCCATATGTCCCCTTTCTTGCCACTCATCGAAATGTATTATGATGGCCTGTGTACCCCACAAAGTGGGAAGTTCTGGGTGGCCACAAAAAGTTTCAAGGAGCTCATTCTTACAGCCTTAGCACTAATCCCAGTGCCCGATATGTATTAGATATGCAACAAGTATCTGTGTAAAAATGAATATGTGAAAGAATGAATGAGTGAGTGAGGAAGACAGGAATGCTTGGTTAAAAGAGAGGTAACAGATTTTATAAGGCATCCCTTGGGAGAAAGAGAAAAGCAGATTCTGCCCCTGAAAATTTGAAGGGCTGAGTTATCATACCTGACATACAGTGGAGGGGGCAAGGGGTACAAATGGGATACTTGCATTCTAACTTCTCCTCCAAGGAACAATCTAATATAAATGTAAATTGCTGAGATCCAGGAAGGAGGCAGAAGTGGTTAACTTGGCCTCAGGGTGTTTAATGTAACTTGTATCTTACACTAAAAGGAGAGGAGGTAAAAATAATCAATGTATTTATTAAGTGCTAAGTCAACCATTCTGTAGCTCTTTAATACAAAGCATGAATGACCGACCCTGTTGTGTTTTGACAAAAGCCATGCTTAAATTAATTGCAGTGTACAATTTATTCATGTGGGCACTTGTAAATCTAGTAAGAATGACCCAATGGAAAGACTGGGCCAAAAATAGATCATAGAAGAATAAACCCAACAGACCAATAAACATACAACAAGATATTAAACTTCATTTGTACTCATGGAAATGTAAACTGGGACTTAAAAAAAGAGAGAGAGGGAGAGAGATCTCACTTGACACCAGTCAAAAAGCCTGATAACACCAAACATTATTTGGGAATAATGGGAATCTGTTCCTTGCTGAAGGGTGTGTAAATTGGCAAAACGATACCTTAGAATAATACCATGGGTTTTTAACACAAAACACATTTTATAACATAAAACAATGTTCTATTTTATTAATGTCTATATATGTTTATAGAAAAGCATAAAGACATAAATGGAAGAAGATAAGCTATAAGATTGGACTACTGCTGGCAGGGAAGGAGCAGGAAGAGATAAGAGCATAGGCCTCAAGCTGTCCCTTCAATGTTTTGTTTATTTAAAGAAAAAGCAAGATTTTAAGCATGTGGAAAGACATTAACATGTATTAAAGCTGGTGATAGCTTCATGGTGTCACTTACTGCTGTGTGTGAAATATTTCATATCATCTTTTAACTTACTACAAAAACAAACCAGGGATTGATCAATGCAGGGAAAACCCAACTTGCGACAATTTGAATGTGATCCGGAACTAGGCCTTCCCCAGAGATGGAATCTAGGTTAATGGGAAATTAATGTTTTCATGCTTTTAGGGCTTCACATGACTACCAGTGTATGATTATCTTTTTTTTTTTTTCCAAAAAGGAAGCCATGACTAAGCCAAAGGAAGGTAACTTTAATTGGGTAACGGGGCTTCAAATACCAGATCTAGAAATGAAAATCTCACTTACCAATGGTTGTCACTTGAACAACAGCTCTGACTGTCCACTCACTTGTGTTATCCGACTCAGTGTAATCACATACATACATGCCGTCCTGTTCTTCGTAAACTTCATCCACTAGGATTGAGTTGCTCTTTTCTTTAAGGAGTAGCTTTCCATTCTAATCCAAGGGACAAGAAAAATAAATAACCTTCTTTAACCAGAGAATCGTTACTACTACTAGTCATAACAACAGAAAAACTTCACAAATGAGAGCATCACCCAAGCTATGAAGAGCTTCTGTCCAGAAATTGTATTTGTAAGATTCTCATTTGTTCGTGAGGGCATAGAGGCACCAAATCTGACTGATCCACAAAGAGTTGTTTAGCCTAGTATTTCCCAAAGCATGACTCAGGCCTCTGAGACTATTCTAGAAAACTCATAGTGCTTTAAGGAGCTGATATCTCAATGAATTTTTTTAAAACCATGTATATTTATATTTATGGACATTGGCATAGGTTTTTTTGTGTGTAATGGGGTTAATATAAAGTTTTTTATCTAAATAAATTCAATTCAAAAAAGGTGAAATTTAAATTAAAAGTATTAAGTAAGGGGCACCTGGGTGGCTCAGTCATTAAGTGTCAGCCTTCGGATCAGGTCATGATCCCAGGGTCCTGGGATCGAGCCCCACATCAGGCTCCCTGCTCAGCGGGAAGCCTGCTTCTTCCTCTCCCACTCCCCCTGCTTGTGTTCTCTCTCTGTCAAATAAAGAAATAAATAAAATCTTTAAAAAATATTAAGTAAATAACTAAACAGGTGTACATAGATATGACAAAGAACGACTAATGAGTGAGAAACAATGAACTCATGGTGGACCCAAACTCAAGTGGAAACTAAAATGCAATAATGAGCACTTCTCTCCCTTATTTAGCATATCTATCATGGATGCTAAGGTCTAAAGTTCTCCCATGGCTGAACTTACCATTCCTTCCTGCTCTCATTTCCTGCTACTGCTTCTCCACCCACTTGCCATTCCCTAAATAACCATGTTCTTTCTCTATTCATGTGTCCGTACATCTCTCCCACCACTTTCCCCACCACCGGGTAGGCTGCAGCTCAGTCTTTAACTCCAAGTCAAGAGGTAACTCTCACAGAGGGAGTGACCAGGCACTCTCCCAGCAGAACCGGTCCCTGCACGCTCCCAGACGTCCACGATTACCCAGAGCCCTCTGATCGTAATTTATGTATACAGTTACCTCTTTCTATGTCGTTGTTGAGACAGCCATTGTGCCAAGACACATAGCTGCTCCTAGACACAAAGGCAGGAATAAACATAGATCCCTCCCATCAGAGGATATGGAGTCATGAATGCCTTCTGAGACTGAGAGAGTGCTCAGTCTAAGAAGGCAGGCCCCGAGCAGTAAGCCAGAGTCTGATGCATTTGGGCAGCCTTGGGTTGGTTCACAGGAAGCAGGGATGCTCCTTCCAGGCTAATCAGAGCCTTGAGTAATATGTAGGAATCACTCCATTGAAGGTAAGTGCCATCCTGGAAACATCTGAAATGGAGCATGGATATAGGAAATAAGGCCACGGTGAAGAGGCTGATGTGCGTAGATGGACTTGGTCTTTGTGTCTCTAGTATATGGCAAGCAAGCCAGCAAGAGTAGGCTCTTTGTAAATGATGGGTGAATAAAGTATGCATACTTGAAAGGTTCTAAAGCCTAAGAGTCATGTAATCACCTTTGTATCACTAGGGGCTGGGACATAGTAAGGGCTCGATAAATATCTGTTGAATGGTTGAGTTTCACTGTACCAGTAATTCTGTAGCCCCCAATTTCCATGTGGCACATGGCCTTCCAATCTCCAACAAATAGCCCTCAGTGTATCTCTCACCACAGCAGTCAAAAACAAAGAGATAGGCAACAAAAACAACAAAATAATAAGTATTTCTTACCTATACAGATTACAAAATTCTTTCTCATGTATTATCCCATATGATTCACTCAAAGGATTCTCTGAATTGGATTGCACAGACTCTACAAGAAAACTGAGGTTTTGGAGCTCATGTGTTGCCCTGTATCACAGAGCTAGCAACTGAGAGGACCGAGGGTCAACGTGAATTTTTCTGACTCTTGAGCTTCATGTTCTCATTGAGGAATTTCCCTTCTACTTCCCATGCTAACTCACAGGAGCAAGGATTCCCCTACTCCAAGTCTCTGGTGTGGTTCCTGTGGCCCAAGAAGGGACTTCCAGTAGGTTGGCAAGGAGCCTAAGGGGAGGGTCAGAGCAGGTCAGAGAAGGGCAGCCACAGGCAGGAAGTAGAAGAAAGCAAACAAGTGGGGCAGACAATGTTAAATATCAACCAGCTGATCTCAAGGGTCAAGGACCCTTCAAAAGAAGAGTCAGAGGATGGGGTAAAATTCAGAGATAAAACTCTAGAGAATGCAATAATGACATACAAAGGGCAGAAACTGAAGCAGAAGTGTGTCGTGAATCACCCAAGAAAGTAACGGGGAGAGGACGGAGAGTCGTGACTGAGACCTCAGTTGAGCCACAGTGGGGATGGGTCAAAACAAAGTGGATTTGATTTTTTTCATAAAAACGTAAGTGTGGGGGCGCCTGGGTGGCTCAGTTGGTCAAGCATCTGCCTTCGGCTCAGGTCATGACCTCAGGGTTCTGGGATCGAGTCTCAAGTCAGGCCCCCTGCTCAGCAGGGAGTCTGCTTCTCCCTCTCCCTCAGCCCCTCCCCCTGCCCCTGCTCGTGTGCTCTCTCTCTCTCTCTCAAATAAATAAAATCTTAAATAAAAGTAAAAAAGGTATGACTTCATATGTATTCTTAAGACTTAATGAGATGGAACTAAAAGGAAACATCAAAGAAAAGAGATAAGAGAGAGGCCACTTGTGTCAAGAATGATGGGAAACCCATTCTGGTAAGATGACCGCAAATGATTTCAGTAGGAAAAAGAGGTGCTAATGGGGCTGTTTCGCTCAGCTGTGAAACAGTCTTGAACAAAATATGGAAAGAGGAACATCTCAATGTGAACCTGTACGAATAGTATCAGTAAGTCCTAGACAGAACAGAGACATGCAGAAAAGAGGAAGACACTAAAACGGGACTTTTAAAGGAATGTGTGCAGCAAGAAGAACAAAGAAAATGTATTCTAGGAGGAGCAGTTATTGAAATACTACCCGCTATTGTCATCAAGTTCTAATAGTACCGGCCAAGACACAGTGGAGCTCCTACCAGGGCTTTTGTTACCTAGTCTGGGAGGACTCCCAGCATGGACATCTTGAGCCCTGCCCTCCCTGATGGACTTGACATTTCCATGTCTGTTTTAATGACACATTATGTCCAGATCTGTGTATGTGAGCTCTTTTCATCCCTCATTGAATTCACTCTTACTTTCTCAACTTGCTAAATGTTGTGAACATATTTGAGCCAGAAAGACCCAAAACAGGAGTCATCTCTTTTATGTCCCCCAAAGTATTTCATCTTGTATTTTATTCCTTGAAGATATCACTAGCCTCCATCAACTCCTTTCTGTTCCCACAGCTAGTTCCCTGGATCAGGATTCACACTTGTAAAGTTCAATCACACCAATAGGGACCCCCAATAACCATACCACATAACCAACTTACAGCCTTTGTTTTCAGCCCTAACCCTAAAGCCGCTCAGGAACTCTCTGCTCCCACTATGTTGAGCCACTCACCATTCACAGAATGTGACCCTTGTCCTTCTGTTTTCTGTCGCCCCTCTGCCTTTTTCTGCAGCTTCTGTCTCTTGCCCTAATCATCAACCGACCACATTCTACTTACACATAAATTTTGCACTCGTATTTATCTTTTAAGTGGAAAAGGGTACATTATGAAAAATATAGACCGATGAGCTAGATGTTCATCTCTAGCCAAAGTCTTGAATGGATTATTGGACAGATGACTCATGAGCCCTTAAAAAAGAAAATGTATGATAAAATGAATAGACAAGAGGCTCAGAGAATACAGGAATACAGTAGATGTTCTGTCTTCACTGTAGTGAGTCATTGGGAAAACATGTTGATGAGGTCTTTGTTAAGTAAAATAGATATGCCTGGGCTGAATGGGTCACCATTTGGGTGCCCTTTTCAAGTTAATTGAGCAGTAATACTCCCCACGTTGTGGATTAAGGGATCATGGGATCATGCTAGAGTCAATAGCTGAGTTGACTGGCAGTTGAATGCCAAGCTGTTCAGTATTTTTGCTAAGACCTATCATGCCTGCATCTCATCCTCAAGTCACACAAGTCTGGGAGTCATGGCTTAATATGGTGGATTTCAAAATCAATTCCAACCTCTTGATATGTAGAATGATGAGCTAAAACCAACAAATCAGAATTTAATTAGAATAAATGTAAAATCATGAACGTGGGTTACAAATTCTACTCCATTAGCAAAAACTGAATTGGCTTGATCACTGTTCTTGTGAAAACAAACAAACAAAAACAAACAAAAAAAGACCCTTACTTGCCAACTAAGAATGAACAACCACATAATGGAGCCGCCCCAAAGCTAATGCAATCATAGACCGCACTGATATACTGCTCAGAACAAGGAAGAAAATAGTTTGTCTGTTTTCACTATTGGTTAGGCAACATGTGGGTTATAGCATTGTACAGACGTTAGGAAGTTGTGCAGGATTGTGAGCACTCTGAAATTGCTCAGTGAGAACAACCGAATGGGCCAATGTACCGACCTTGAGAATACTTTTCAGAAATCAAATTGAAATGATCTTTACTTCTTCTGTACTTGGAACCACATTGATCTTTGGTCGAGCCAGTCTCACCAACTCACCAGGTCTCTGGATCACTAGGCTTACAGAATGCTAGGCAGTACTAGTGACTGTGAGAAAAGTAGGCCAAAAAGAAATGAGAGGGAGAAGCAGCAGGTTTGAGTGCGTACATTCCATGGAACGCAGGGCTCAGAGGAGATGCACCAGCCACGTCAGCGTCGTGGTCAGTGAGTGTGGCATATGCGTGAGATTGTCATAAGCCACCAGTGGAAAGGTTGCTTGGGGCACAAATCTAACTGACAAGAAGTCATAGCAGTGTCACTGATACCTGTGTCTCAATGCCATTGTGGAAGGACCTCTCCTGCTGCCCTGTTCTAATTTTGCCCATATCAAAGATTTGCTTAGCAAGAGAATGTAAAATACCCTCTCATTAAATGTAATTCTCATTTATTTAAGAGGAAGTCTGTGTAGGCTATTTCTTTATTATATTTTTAAGAAATTAGCAAGATATGGGGAAATGTTCTTTGAGTAAGGAACAGATAATTCACTTTAATTCTGACTTCTTGGCCATTTAATATTTCAATTAAGAATCTCCAAGCCTCTGCATGGAGCACTGGATGTTATACAACGAATAACAATGAATCATGGAACACTACATCAAAAACTAATGATGTAATGTATGGTGATTAACATAACAATAAAATTTTAAAAATAATAAATAAAAAAGAATCTCCAAGCCTAAATTTTTTGACGTGTCTATTAAAAATCTTCCAAAAGCCCCCAGGGCCTTGAGCCCCTGGATTTATTTCAGTGGGACATTCTATACATCTGGCAGATGCGTCCCTGGTCAGGAGTTTCATCTGAATTCAATAACACCATGCTTTCATCTGCTCAGCCAGTGTTAGCCTCTGCTGTCTATTCTGAGATGGCTTAGGTGTGACCCACCCACCACCTGAGTACTGGAGGAAGGAAAGGAGCACTGTGTATTATTTGCGGCCTAATGTCACAACTTCCAGTGATACACTCCTTCCGTGAAGGCTGTGACTTTTCAGGTTACTGCACACATGCATGCAATTGGGAAACATAACTTGAACGATAACCTATCCAAATCTGTGTCAGAAAGTACAATTTTATTTCGTTTTTTAATATTTATTTGAGAGAGAGTGAGCGAGAAAGAGCGTGAGATGGGGGAGGGAAGAGGGAAAGGGAGAGGCAGACTCCCCCTCGCTGAGCAGGGAGCCAGATTCAGGGCTCCATCCCAGGACCCTGGGATCATGACCTGAGCTGAAGGCAGATGCTTAACTGACTGAGCCACCCAGGCGCCCCTAGAAAGTACAATTTTATTTATTTTATTTATTTTTTAATAGTTTATTTATTTGACAGAGAGAGACACAGCAAGAGAGGGAACACAAGCAGGGGGAGTGGGAGAGGGAGAAGCAGGCTTCCCACGGAGCAGGGAGCCCGATGCGGGGCTCTATCCCAGGACCCTGGGATCATGACCTGAGCCGAAGGCAGACGCTTAACAACTGAGCCACCCATGCGCCCCAAAAGTGCAATTTTAACAAGAGCCATTGTTTGCCTGCCTTTAGGACCCGTGCTTATTCACCACTAAAAACAGCCTGACCTTTGCAGTCAAGACCCCAGAGCCTCCTTCTGTGAATGTCATACACTGTCAGGGTTTAGTTTACAAGAGTAATATATATGAAGAAAGCTGACAACTATTGTGTGGCTTCTGTTTACCTGAGCCTGAAAATAGCCTTCATTTCAGGCTATTGATTATATCATTGAAAATTTAAATGCATTTTGATCTGAAATGGCTGGGGGCAAGCCTGCCTTACTGGCCTAAGAACAGCCTACATTGACATAGCAGGATATCTGTCATCCCAGACCACAAATACTTTTGAACCAAGGGAACTTTTGTTCTTAAGAGAACTGAAAATAAGGAAGCCGGGGTGGCTCAGTCAGTTAAGCGTTTGCCTTGGGCTCTGGTCATGATCCCAGGGTCCTGGGATCGAGTCCTGTTTGGGGCTCCCTGCTTAGCGGGGAGTCTGACTCTCCCACTCCCTCTGCCCTTGCCCCCGTTTGTACCTTCTCTCTCTCTCTCTCTCTCTCTCTGTCAAATAAATAAGTAAAATCTGTAATAAAAAAGAGGGAACTGAAAATAATGAACAGAATCATGGGCTTTTCTGGCTAACCTCATTTTAGAGGTTATGAAGTTAATGTGTTTCTTAAGTTAGGATTTTATTGAGGCCAGCATTTTTTCAGTGTCACTTTAAAATACAAATGTGAGACCTATAGCACATCTCATCACTTGTTCTCTCTGTATACTTATTTCTATAGCAGACACGATAATGCCTGTCTACCCTTTGTCACCAAGTGTCAGGGGAATCAAGTGAGGAAATGGCTTCTCACACCACAGTGCTTGTACCACCACGGCTCTCTGATTGCTGAGTCTTGGAGTGGGTAGAGCCACCAGATAAATATGGGCCACTTGTGTGACTGATCAGTGGCAATTTAAAATGATATTTTTATATTAACAAACATGGTTTGAAGTCGAATTGAACGTTTTACGTGGCTTTTTATGGCAAAGTATTGGACTTCCAACAAGTATTACAAGTGTAGGAGGCAATTTAAGTTCTATTTTGTTTCCACCGCCCAGAGGTCAACTACCATGGGGCTATGTTGAAGGAGATGCTTATGGCATTTATGTATCTGTTAGCACTTTGGAAAACTGTAAGACGCCATAGCAATGTGAAGTGTTTTTGTTATGAAGCTTACTCATATGTGGTTCATAACTCAAAATCATTAGGAAATTTGCCTCTTCCTTGCCCCCACCCCCTTTCCTCTTTACTGACTTCCCGCCCCCCGCCCCCCTCTCATCTGTGCAAGATACCTGTCGCCTGGGCCACCTATGTTTGCCATAAATGTCCTCCCAGATGTGCTCTCTTTGGAAAGCATTCCAGTCTCTTATTTTGCTCAGAAACCCTCCAGGCCTCATATGTTGGTGTCTCCCTTCCCCCTAATAGTGCCCATTGCTTTCCAAAGACAATAGAAATGAACTCAGCTGGTCTTCTGCGTTAGCGGATGTTTGTAAGTTTATGTCTTACTTCATACGTAATGCACTTAACTTTCAGAAATTTTGCTAGCACTGATCAAAAAGATGGTTCTCCTACTTGCAATATCACACTCTGTGGCTCCCTGGGAGAAAGACCACTTTAGCAGGTCAGGTCTTCTTTATAGGCACAAGGTCAGTACTTGCGAAGCTCTAGGCCTCAGATTCTCAAACCCACATTTCTATAAAGCACCTATAGGGATGTTATCACATCAGTTTTGGAGAAGTCATTCTTACCTGGTACCAGGTCACATTTGGACTCTGTGCATCACTTTGGCAGTTGAAGCTAGGGCAATGAATATAGTCAGTGCTACCAAGAAGAAGGTATTGCTCATGTGATACAGAGTTATTTGGTATACAGGATAGATTTGTCTTAGGCTTAACTTCTAAGATGGTCTTGACACAACAGGCCTCATCCCGAGGGCTCCTAGGAGAGTTAACAAGGTCTTGTGAACACAGATGTTATATCCAGGTGATATAGGATTTGGGAATGTTTTCATATAAGAATGCATTTGGGACATACCTAATCCTGGGTCTACAGATATATGACCCAGCGTTATGTATTCCTGTCGTCAAAAAGTGTAGGGTGCTCTTCTGGATGATGTGAGCAGAGTTGTTAGTTATTTCCCGTAATGGATCTCCATTTTGAGGTTGTAAGTACCACTGGACATCAGGTAAGTCCTTATGACCACTGTAGGGCAAGTTTTCAGAGCCTTGGGCTGGTGAGAGTTGACTTCTGTGGCACGACTCTGTTAAGCCACAAAATAAGACAAACTGCTCATTCGTTGAAGAATATTCCCAAAGCAGTTTCTTGGTGAAGCAATCTGAAAACCACAAGGAACAAAGCAACAGAGAGATGCATTAGAAGATGAAACTCTCCCTTGGCAATGAGTTTTTGGACATGACATCTAACGCACAAGCAACCAAATAAAAAAGTGTTGGGTGCCTGGGTGGCTCAGTCGGTTAAGCGTCTGCCTTTGGCTCAGGTCATGATCGCAGGGTCCTGGGATCGAGCCCCACATCGGGCTCCCTGCTCAGCAGAGAGTCTGCTTGTCCCTCCACCCCTCCACCCCCGCCCATGATATCTCTCTCTCTCTCAAATAAATAAATAAAATCTTTAAAAAAATAAACAAGTAGAACTACATCAAACTAAAAAGCTTCTGCACAGCAAAAGAAATGTAAAGATGATCTACAGAATGGGAAAAGGTATTTTCAAACCATGTATCTAATAAAATATATCTGATTAACATCCAAAATACATAAAGAATACATACAACTCAAAAGCAAAATCAACAAATAAACAAGAACAAACAAACAAACAAAATCCCCCAAATAAGCCACTTAAAAATGGGCAATGAATCTGAATAAGCATTTTCCAAAGAACATATATAATTGAAACACAGGTACGTGAAAAGGTGCTCAACAACACTAATCATTAGGGGACTGCAAATTAAAACCATACTGAAATATCACCTCACACCTGGTAGGATGACTTATCAACAAAAGACAAGAGATAAGAAGTGTTGGCAAGGGGGTGGGGAAAAGGGAACCCTTAGGCACTGTTGGGATTATAAATTGGTATATCCATTATGGAAAACAGTATGGAGGCTCCTCAAATAAATTAAAAATAGAACTACCATATGATACAGAAATTTCATTTCTGGGAATATACCTAAAGGAAATGAAAACACCACGTCAAAGAGATATTCTGCACCCCTATGTTCACACCAGCATTATTCACAATAGTCAAGATATGGAAACCTTATTTGGTGAACACCTAAGTGTTCATCAACAGATGAATGAATAAAGAAGTTGCACACACACACACACACACACACACAAATATTATTCAGCCGTAAAAAAGGAGGAAATCCTGCCATTTGCAACAACATGGATGGAACTTGAGGGCATTATGCTAAGTGAAATGTCAGACAGAGAGACAAATACCATATGATGTCACTTATACATGGAGTCTCAAAAAAAACAAAAAAACAAATAACAAACTTATAAACATAATAAAAATAAAGAAAGAAAGAAGAAAGAAAGAAAGAAAGAAAGAAAGAAAGAAAGAAAGAAAGAAAG